CCCCCAGGCTCACAAGGTTCCCTGCATTCCTTCATTCCAGAGACGTGAATGGGTGTGTGTAATCTCAGGCTTGTGGCAGAATATTTAACTTACATTTCTATTCGTTACTCGTAAAATTGCGCTAGGTAATTATTGGGATTTGGCTTTTCCGCTGGGATAGTTCCCATGATATCATCTACCTTTTTATAAAAGAAGGGCACCTCTTGTGTTGCATTTAGCTTGTAACTATGCTTTTATAACAGGAAATCTTACAGAAATAGTTCATAAATGCTCTTAGATTAACAATAAGCGAGCTCATCCTAGTGTTAATGGATACTAGGAACAAATGGAAACGCAAAGCGTTGTCTTATTTCAGAACATTATACCTGCTTTTAAAAATGATAGGAAGAGCTGTATCTAACCGTATCTAAAAAAGGTTAAAGCTGTTTTAGTTTCGAATGTTTGCCTCAACAGTATGGGTGGTACTTTCTCCTTACTGTTTATTAAGTTTCAGAGTCAGAAAGTGTATTTCATAATACTTTTGTTTCATTTTTTGAGAGAGGGTCTCACCATGTGGCCCAGGCTGGCCTCCATTTTTGCGATCATAAGATGATATAAATCAAAGCAGGGATGGATTCTGGGGGAGTGTGTTATTTCTGTTTCCCATATGTCTGTTTTTCAGATATTTGCTGCTATGGTCTAAATATTGTTTAAAATTAAGCTTTATTCACATTGTGTTTTTACAATATTACTCTGCGTTTGCAGTACGCATGACCGCACTCTCATGGGGGTTGGGGCACACACAGTTACTTCCTCGGCCCCTCCCTGCCCTCCTCTTCCCCTCCAGATTCCCTCTTTGCAGAGCCCATCTCCATTTCTTGACACGGCTCTTTTAGTTTTGCTCTTTAAATTATTTATATTTTGGGTCTCTCATTGGAGAAACCATGTGACGCTGAACCTTTTGTGACTTATTTCCCTTAGTAGTGTCTCTCAAGACTTATCCATATTTCTACACATGACTCACATTTATCATTCTTTAGGGTTGGGTCAGATTCCTCTGTGTATAAATACCACATTCTCTTTATCCACTGTTGGAAGGCACATAGATCCCTTCCGTGACTTTCTGTGGTGAGTTGCATTGCTATAAACATGAGTGTGCACGTATTGCTGTCATAAGGTGACTTTAGCTCTTCCAGGAAGATACCCAGGAGAAGTATAGCCAGGTCAAATGGCATTTCTAGTTTCTGAGGAATTACCATACTGATTTCCAAAAGAGTTGTAGTTGTTTACATTCCCACCAATGATATGGAAGGGTTCCCTTTCCCTCGTCCTTTTACAACTTTTATTGAGATCTTTTGTGTCAATTTTAATTGACCTTTTTAATTACAAAAGCAATATATGTCCTGTATAGAAAATTCAGACAAACAAAATTAAAATACATTGTGTTCTTATCCAAAGAGCATATGGGGGTGGACAGGGAGGGAATTTGTGACCTGCATTCTTACATCAAAGTCTCTACTCTTATTTTAGTAAAAATTGATCTCACTGTGTTAGTGACACCCACACAATAAAGCAGGAAAGGTTTATTGCAGCTTTTCTGCAACCTCAGTTTGCAGAGGGTTCAGTCCATAGCTCACTGGCTCCAAGGCATGGTGGCCTGGCAGAGGAGATCGTGGCATGGTAAGCAGAAGGCAGAAGCAGCAGAAGCAGCAGAAGCAGCAGCAGCAGCAGCAGCAGCAGCAGCAGCAGCAAGCCTGCCTCTCCCTTGTATCCTGTCCAGGCTACCAGCCTTTTGAGTGGTGCCACCCACACCCTTAATCCTAGCATCACTCTGTTAATCCACATTCACACACCCGAATCCAGCCACCTTCCAGACTCCCCACCTCTGGCCGCATGAGGCTTTGGGGGGATATCCAGGTAAAGCCACAGCACTGACCTAACCCTAAATCACACTCACCTTCTCCCAGGAAGGCTCATAAGAGTCTTTATTAGCTGTCCTAATGAATATGTAATTTAGGATCAGGGCAGGCAGCTGTACTTGTTAAATACTTTAGATCTTTTTCTCTTTTTCACAGTACTGGGGATTGAACCTAGGGATGCTCTACCACTAAACTATGACCCCTGCTCTTTGTAATTTTTCTTTGGGACAAGGTCTGACCAGGTTGCCCAGGCTGGCCTCAAACCTTTGCTTCTCCTGCCTCAGCAGGAGATTTAGCCTTTCTTGAGTAAGGTGTCTTTAGATCTCAACTTTAAATGCCAATTTAGCACAATTACCAGTTGCTCACTTCAGTAAGTGCTACTGACTTGCTTGATTTATAAAATTTCAAGGCTATAGAGAAACAGTAAGTTTCTATAAATATTTGGCCCAATTCACCAAGTGTGGAAGTGTGGCTATTTTACCACCCCTCTCCCCAAATCTCGGATGTCCCTTGCAGACAGTCCTCCTGTGTTTCACTAGGCTTTCATCCCATGTGACCCTGATGTTGCAGGTCAGGCTCACTGTCCCGCAGAATGCCCTTCACTGCAGATCTGCCTGGCTGCTTCCTCATGGGTAACCCTGTGATGCATTTTTGTCAGGAGTGCTATGGATGTGACCTGCTGTCCTTCCTGTCCTCCCATCAGGAGGGAGATGGGACTTTGTCTCACTGTTGGGGATGTTAAGCTTGACCACAGGGCTAAGGTGGCCCCTACCATGTTTCTCCTTGCAAAGAGACTTTATTTTTTTAAATTAAGCAATATGTGTGTTGATCATCTCACTGTATGTTGTCTAATAACGTCTGACATGATAGATTTAGACTTCCTTGATCCCTCACTGAACACACTGTTTCTCTCTTCCCACTGGGATTGACTGTGGACCTCCTGCCTGGGTGGCTGGCCAGTCCTTGAGTATTGAGCTCCCAGCCCTAACTTATTACAGTGGTGTTTATAAATTGTGGACTTTCCAAATCTAAAATTCTATAGTTGGGTGCAGTGGTGCATGCCTGTAATTCCAGCACTTCTGAGACTGAGGCAGGAGGATCGCCATGGTTTAGAGCCAGCGTGGGCTACATAGTGAGTTTAAAGTCAGCCTGAGCTGCACAGCAGGACCCCGTCTCCCCCTCCTCCAAAATCTATAGCAAATGCCCTTCAGAATCAGAGTGAAAGTGTATCTGTAGTTACTGTCATTTTTCATAAAGAAGTACTCCTGCTGTTATGTTTTTTTAGTATCACTCTCGAGACATGGGTTTCTGTTTTTTAATTCCATGTGTTATAACTCAGCAGTGTCATGACTTTTATGCTTCAAAGTTTGGCAAGGAGGAGCCCCTTTCGGCAAGCCCTGTTTCTTTCACCTTCCCCCACCGGATTTAGGATACCTCCTCTCTCACAAAATGTTCCTTGCACTTGCCACGACCAAGCCTGTGCTTTCTCTAGGGCCCTGGTCCCTGGGGTCCTATGGAGACAAAGCTAGTGTTCTCCACACAGTGTTCTCTCTAGATTTGCGTCCCTCTCACGCTTTACTTCCTGTGAAGTGGAAGTTACCTGTAATACTTGATTCTACTTGAAAACTATAGGCGTGTGATTCCAGCGTTGCAAAGGAAAGTATGCTCTCTGGTTGACCCGCCCTCAGCGATAACTACTTATATGTAAAATCATTTTTCTGACATTTTAGTTTGTTAACTTCCTTTGAACAGAGAATGGGAAAGTGGAGCAGTACCTTTGAACATGAATTTTAAAAGTTAATTTAGGGCCGGGCATGGTGGCGCAGCGCATGCCTGTAATCCTAGTATTTGGGAGGCTGAGGCAGGAGGATCGAGGCCAGCCTGTGCTACAAAGTGACTTTAAATTTAAGGCCGACGTGAACAGCATAGCAAAACACTCTCTCAAAAAGACAAAATAAATAAATAGTTCATTTGGAACAAGCAGACATCGCCCTGTTTTGAAGATGTACAAATACCATAAGAGCCTCACCACACTGTCCTGGAATTACCTAATGTTAACAAGAATATTTGTCATGGCTTAAAAAATACTTTCTTGGGCCGGGTGTGGTAGCACAGCACACGCTTGTAATCCCAGCACTCAGGAGGCTGAGGCAGGAGGATTGCTGTGAGTTTGAGGCCAGCCTGGGCTATAAAGTGGGTTCAGGGACAGCCTGAACTGCTCAGTGGAATCCTATTACAAAAAAAAAAAAAAAAAAAAAAAAAAAAAAAAAGCAAACTTTTTTGGGAACTGTACTCACATCTCCCTTCTTCTCTCCTTTTGTTAACAGTTGGACAGAGGGAGCCTGAAGATGTGAGTAAGAAAGACTTGGGCAAAGACACGGCTGCCAGCACTGTGGCTGTTGAGGACATCACAAAGGATGAGCAGATGCCTGAAACGATCCAACAGATTCCTTCTTCAGAAGGCAGCTTGGAAAAGGTAGCAGAGCCTCCCGAGGCCCAGGCTAACAACGTCGGAGAACCCCATGGGGAGGCTGGAGAGGCAGCGGCCAGAGAGAGCGAGCGAAAACAGTCCACCGAGAAGGCGGAAGACACCCTGACGCACCAGCAGAGCCACACAGAAGAACTCTCTCTGACCACTGAGTCTGGTCAAGCAGCAGCAGAAGGCAAAGATGAGGGAGAAGGGGCGCTGGAAAAGGAGCCCACCAAGTCCCCAGAGTCCCCCACCAGCCCGGTCACCACCGAGACTACATCGACCTTCAAGAAATTCTTCACCCAAGGTTGGGCTGGCTGGCGAAAAAAGACCAGTTTCAGGAAGCCAAAGGAGGATGAACTGGAAGCTTCTGAGAAGAAAAAGGAGCAAGAGCCAGCAAAGGCAGACACGGAGGAAAACGAGCAGACAGAAGCTGCCTCTGAGCAGCTCACGGCTCCCGAGCAGCCCCCGAAGCCCGCAGAAGGTGCGGACGAGGCCAGGTTGTCGGCTGACTATGAGAAGGTGGAGCTGCCTCTGGAAGATCCAGTCAGTGGCGCACAGGCCCCTTCTGCAGAGAAGTGCGCTCCGCTGGCAACAGAAGTGTTTGATGAGAAAATAGAAACCCACCAGGAAGTTGTAGCCGAGGTCCACGTTAGCAGTGAGGAGAAGAAAACAGAGGAGCAAGAGGCAGCCGTGGGAGAAACAGAAGCTTTGCCACCTGAAAAGCTGCTGGAAACCAGTGCTCAGGAAACTCAGGAAGCTGAACTCGCCGAGGCGCTGGAAAAGACCAAAGACGGGTGTGCCTCCGGGGGAGACCACAGCCGGCCCATAGAGCTGAGCCCCGACGAGAAGGCGCTGCCCAGACACCCCGAGAGCATCATGAGTGAGGCTGCCACGCTGTCATCACAGGACAGAGTCAAGGTGCAGGGGAGCCCCCTGAAGAAACTGTTCTCTAGCACCGGCTTAAAGAAGCTTTCTGGAAAGAAACAGAAGGGGAAACGAGGAGGAGGCGGAGGAGGAGAGGAGGAGACGGGGGAAAATCACCAAGGTGCCGCAGAGTCTCCAGACAGTGCGGATGAGCAGAAGGGCGAGAGCTCGGCTTCGTCCCCGGAGGAGCCCGAGGAGATCACGTGTCTGGAGACCGGGATCGCAGAGGGGCAGCGCGAGGGCGAGGCCGAAGAAGGAGCCGCTTCGGATGGAGAGAGAAAGCGAGAAGGCGTCACTCCCTGGGCGTCTTTCAAAAAGATGGTGACACCCAAGAAGCGAGTTCGACGGCCTTCTGAAAGCGACAAAGAGGACGAGGTGGACAAGCCGGAGAAGGTGAAGAGTGCCACCTTGTCTTCCACGGAGAGCGCGGCCTCTGAAATGCAAGAAGAAGTCAAAGGGACCGGGGAAGAGCAAAAGCCAGAAGAGCCCAAGCGCAAGGTGGACACTTCGGTGTCTTGGGAGGCGCTGATTTGTGTGGGCTCCTCCAAGAAAAGAGCAAGGAAAGCATCCTCTTCTGATGAGGAGGGAGGACCAAAAGTGATGGGAGAAGACGGCCACAAAGCGGAGGACGCTGCCAGAGACAAGGAAACCGGAACTGATTCTGTCCTTGCTGGCACCCAGGAACCGGAGCCGGGGCCAGGGAGCTCCTCCCCCGAGCCCGCGGGCAGCCCCTCCGAAGGGGACGGCATTTCCACCTGGGAGTCATTTAAAAGATTAGTGACCCCCAGGAAAAAGCCCAAGTCAAAACAGGACGAGAAAAACGAAGAGTCTGTAGAGCATTCAGCTTCAGATGTTGAACCCGGGAGAGAAGAGTCTTGGGTTTCAATTAAGAAGTTTATCCCTGGACGGCGGAAGAAAAGGGCAGACGGGAAACAAGAACAGGCCACTATAGGGGACACGGGGCCCGCAGAAATCAACGAAGAGGACTCTGATGTGCCAGCCGTGGTGCCTCTGTCCGAATATGACGCCGTGGAGAGGGAGAAGATGGAAGCTCAGCAAGCCCACCAAGGCGAAGCGCCAGCTGAGCAACAGGTGGGCCCGACCGAGGAGCTCAGCCAGACTCTGGCTCCCTGTGCGACAGTGGCTGTCGTCGACGGGACACGGGCAGCTGCCAGTGTGGAAGAACGGTCTCCTTCTTGGATATCTGCCTCCGTGACGGAGCCTCTTGAACAAGCACAAGATGAAACCACACCAGTAAGTGGGGAGATGACCGAAAGCGAAGTCACTGCAGGAGAAACAGCCACCGCCACCCAGACTGTGCCCGACGACAGGATCACCGGTGACGTGGAATTAACTTCCGAGGCTGTGGCCGCTAGAGAGACCTCAGAGGTGCTCTGCGCCGCTGAAGAAGCTGCCGAAGCGTCGGCTGCAGAAGAGACCACAGAGATGGTGTCGGCCGTTTCCCAGCTCACTGACTCCCCGGACACCACGGAGGAAGCCACCCCAGTTCAGGAGGTGGAAGGCGGTGGGCCAGATGCGGAAGAGCAGGAGCGGCAGACGCAGGCCGTCTTACAGGCGGTTGCAGAAAAAGTCAGAGAGCAGTCACAGCTGCCCGAGAGCAGCGGGGCCGAAGGTGTGGCTCTGCCCATGCAGAGAGCGGAGCCAAAAGCCCTGGAGAGAGTGGAGGAGGCAGAGGAAGACTCGGAAGCACCTGGGCTGGAGGAAGGGGTGGGTGCTGCGTTGAGAGCAAACGCAGGAGAAATGAAAACTGAGCCTTTTTCACAAGGCGAGGTGACAGCGCAGGCCGCCCCCGAGGAAGCTCCTCAGGGCTTGGCGAGTGTAGCGTCCGGGGAGCTGATAACCTCAGGCCAACCCGAGCCCTTGGCTGGGGTGCAGCCCCCCGAGCAGCCTGTCCTCCCCGACTCAGCGGATACCCTGACAGACAGCGACACCAACGGAAGCACGCCCGTGGCAGACGTTGAGGCGCTGGATACCGTGCAGCAAGATGAGGTCACGGACGGGCAGGACCACAGCATGGTGGCATCTGGTACCCAGTCACAGGTCACAGAGGCAGAGGCAGCTCCTGCCGAGACAGAGGGGCCTTCAGCACCGCCTACCATTCTATCCCAGGAAGAATGTAAAGGACAGTTACAACCGGAAGAAGTCCCAGAACCTGCAGATCCAGAGCTGTCAGCGGAGGCTGTAACCGAAATGTCCGAGACTGAGGTGATGCCAGAGCCCGGCAAGCTCGCAGATGGGGAAGCCGAGGACAGAGAGAGCATCGAAGGACTGGGGGCATCTGCACACGTGGCCAGGCAGGAGGAGGCTGGTGAGGTTCCCCGTAGAAGTGAATTCACTGAAGGGGCAGAGGGGCAGAAGAGTCCGGGCCCAGAAGACGGGGAGAGCGCAGCCCGAGGAGAAAAGGAGGAAACTGAAGCAAGGGCAGCACAAGGGAGTGAAGGAGAAGCTGAGCCCAAGTCAGATGTTCCCGCCGCAGATGGGGACAGGGGAGTGAGCGGCGTGGAGGGAAGCTCGCCCGCTCCAGAGCAGCAGGAGGAGGCAAGGTGTGTGGAGGCCCTGGTGGCTGTCACAGCTGCTGCGGTGGAGGAGGAGGAGGAGGAGGTGTTCGGAGGCCCTGGCAAGGTTTCAGATACCGCTGAGGCTTCGGAGCCCGCACAGAGGCCCCCTGGAGAAGGCGAGGCTGGGACTCCGCAGCCAGGAGCCGATGCCGCAGCCGCAGGGCCTGATCCGCGGGCAGAATCAGAACCAGTAACGGTGTCGGATGCGCCTGAGAGAGACCAGCGCCCGGGCCTGGAGGGAGAGGGCGGCGCGCTGCAGAGACCGAAGGCCGAGGAAGACGACAGGCAGCCCGGCTGTCGGGGAGATCGGGTGAGCCCGGCCGCAGACGCCGGTCCCGCGGCTGGAAACCAGGCCTTGGCGCTTGAGACCGAGAGCAGTAAGCTGGTGCAGAACGTGCTGCAGACCGCCGTGCACCAGCTCGCCCGCGCCGAGGAGACCGCGCCCGCCCGCGCAGCTGTGGAGGCGGACGGCCGGCGGGCCGGGCAGGACCCCGCGGAAGAAGTCGGAGGGCCGCGGGCGCCTGTGCCGGGCGACACCCAGACTGTGGCCACCCAGCCCGGGTCTGCCCTCGCCGCCGAGCCACCCCAGCACCCTGACGGTGCCGGAGATGTGAACGGGGTTCCCGAAAAGCCCCTGGCCGTGGAGGCGGCCGGGTCCGGCACCAACGAGCAGCGGCTGGAGGACGCCGTGCCCCCGGCCCCTGCAGAGGGCGATGCCGCGGGCGCAAAGCCTGGGGCCGCCGCCGACGGCTGTACCAGGGCGGGGGCAACAGCAGACGCGTCGCCTCTGGGCTCCAAAGACGGCGAGAAGGAGGGCCCAGCAGCAGCCCTGGCAGACACCGAGGCCCCGGGAGACTTCACCAGAGAGTCCCCAGACGCCAACGGACCAAAACTGAGCGAGGGGGAAGCCGGAGCTCAGGGAGCAAAGGTGCGCGGAGAGTCGGAGGCGGACGCCAAACCCCAAACGGAAGAGGAGCCGGCGGAGTCCTAAGGCACTGTGAGTAACCTTCCTCTCTTGTGCACTGTTAGACGGAATTGGTTAGACAGGAACCTCAGGAGTTCAGATGAGTGATTTTTGTTTGGATAAGCTGAGGTTGGGGAAATAACTATCAACCAGAAAAAGAGATCTAGACAGGCATGGTGGTACACGCCGCTTGTAATCCCAGCACTCGGGAGGCTGAGGCAGGAGGATCCTGGAGAGTTCGAGACCAGCCTGGGCTACAAAGTGAGCTCAAGGTCAGCCTGAACTGCATAGCCAGACCCTGTCTCAGAAAGAAACAAAGAAAGAAAAAGATCTAGAGTAGTTTTGTTTTTCTCCTTTTATTGAAATACCACTTCAGTCTTGTGGTGTCATGAAAATAATGGCTTAGTTTTACCTCTCACTGACTGCTGTAGGAAAAAGAAAAGGGTGCATGTGTGTTTGTCTCAAGGCATAAGAAATGCAGTGTACTTGCTCAGCATAACACCGAGTAGTTAAGATTTAAAAAAAAAGATAAGCAGCCAGAAGTAGGCTTATATCAGAAGTTCAGTTTATAATACTCGAGGGGGGCGTTTCCGAGAATATTGGCAGGGTAATTTTTGAATTTTCCAATGCCTAGGAGCCTGACAGGAAATGTTACTGCAGTTACAAGTTTTGTGATAGCGTGGTATAACATAATGTAGACCCTCATTTTCTTTTTGATTTTCTAAATGATTGGTTTTTTTTTTTTTGGTGGTGGTGTTTTGTTTTTTTTTGTCTTTTTGAGACAGGGTCTCGCTGTGCAGTTCAGACTGGCCTTGAGCTTACTTTGTAGCCCAGGCTGGTCTCAACTCCCAACGATCCTCCTGCCTCAGCCTCCCAAGTGCTGGGATTACAGGCCTGTACCGCCAGGCTAGGCTTTGGTTTATTTTTGGAGGCAGGGTCTCAGTGTTTAGTTCAGGCTGGCCTGGAAATCACTGCAGTCTTCCTGCCTCAGCCTCCCAAATGCAGGGATTATAGGCACCCACCACTGTACCTAGCAACTTTTTCTTTTTAATGGACTTAAGTTTTGTTAGTAGGATTCCTGGTTAGCTACAGTTCCACTGCACAGCTGTTCTGTTGTTAATAAATGACAGAGAAAAAGATTTTGTGTACTGTTTCTTCCTCCTGCAGTGAATGCCACTGTGTATTTGCAAGACCAGAATGTGAAGACGAGTCACAGAGGGAAATGCTGCTGCTGAGACTCAAAAGTGCTGTTCCAGAACCATGAGAGCCAGAGAGCAGGCCCCCCCTTCTGACCTCCCGTCGGGAGCACCCCAACAATCCTGAGGCTTCATCAGGAGCTATAGCCATCTAACATTGCCTTTTTTTGCAAGACCACCTATTATTTTCCCTTGATATCTTATGATACTTCTGACTTGAGGTCCTACATTCTCGATCTGGAACTGGATGGAGTTCGCAACACCTTCTCAAACTGGAGTGTTCTTCATGTATTTATGTGTGTTTTGAGTAACCCTCTTTATCTATTGTCTTCTTTCTTAGTGTAAAGACATGTGCAGCGTAGTACACACCTTTCTTTCTCATACCACATGTGACAGGGTGTGCAGCTGTAGTGAGGCCCTGGCAAGTTTTAAAAAAGCCTCAGTTATAACCTGTGAAAAACAGCTTCCAAGAAATAACATTCCTGGTGAGAAGGTACAATCTTTATCTAAAAATTCACTACAGCCCAGGCCCATGCTTAGTAGTACTCAGAAACTGGTCACTTTCCTATTATGTGCAGTGAGCTAAAAATAAAAAGCTTTTTGCAACCCACAGAATGTTCCATTGTTACTGTGAAATTTTTCTTTCTGGTTCAGCAGAGGTTGGAAGGAAGTTTTTCTTCACTAGCAGTTGAAGTCTTGTTGAGTCTTTCCCCCTAATTGTTACGGTGGTTTGGACAGATGAGTGTGCTTCATTCTGAGGCTGCACAGTGAAGTGCTTTTCATGTTACACAGAAAGAGATGCCTATTGTAAGTTTTTGATTCTGCTCTTAGATGCATTCTGCATTCACCCGCAGAATGAAACGCGTCAAGTCCCCTTCTCTACCAATGGTATTTTGATAGATACTGGAGTGTGTCCATGTCATATTTGTGCCCTTTCTTTTAAGAACAGTGTTGCATTATGTTCATTTGGATAAACTGTGATTTAACAACTGATTTAAATAAAATACTTGCTTTCACTTAGGTTTGCTGGTTTTATTAGGTAGTAGGAGGTGAGAACTTAATGTTTATTGCGTTAGGATGTCATGATGGAAGACCCTACAGTACTTTCTGCTGGTTTGAGTTGGATTTTCAGTTGAGAGGAAGCCATGGAAGAGATGCATTTTTCAAAGCAAACCACTAGCTTTTCAGACACTTTGGGTACAGTTCTACATGTATTCCAGTTTTCTATGTTAATATCTAAATAATGTTTCTAGAAAGAAAGTTTAAGAAGGCTTAATAAATAGTAAACATTCCTTGCCTAAATAACATGATCTGGGAAAAACTTTTAATGTGTCCATGTGATGAATCCTGCTAAAAAATAAAGGATTTTGTCACACAACTGTTACTCAAAAAACAGGCCGTTACCTGTTTACTGTGAAGTTACACTTCTCTCACACAGAGGACTGGCCTGGCAAAGCTTATATTTGATTTAACCTCAGTACTCCAGTTTGAGAATTTAGAACGTGACTGCCAGCTAGTGACTGTTAAAAGCATAATACTCTAGAAAGCCTACTTTTCGTGGGAAAAAGTTTGCTGTTAAAATTCAAAGTAGTTTCTCATGTGTGAACAAACCTGCCAACATAAATAATTGGCCAACCTAATAAAATGCTTCGTGGGAGCAGGGAATGGTCTTGCAGTCGGAAAACTGAATTTAGCACCCTTTTAGTAGTTATTTTCAGATATACCTAACAGCTACCTTGCTGTAAGTATTAAATGTTAAAATACCGGAATTTACGCAGGTGTGGTGATGCACACCCGAAATGCCAGCTACTCCAGAGCCGGAGGCAGGATGATCAAATTGGGGGTGAGCCTGTGCTACTTCGTGAGGCTCTGTATCAACAAAAATAAAAAGGGCTGGCAGAGGACCCCTGGGGGTTCAAGCTCTAATACTGTTTTCAAAAAATTACCAGATTTAAACTCCCCTGCTTTGGAGTGTGAGCAACTGAGACTTTAAAAGAGACTCGCCGGGCTTGGTGGCGCATGCCTGTAATCCCAGCACTCGGGAGGCTGAGGCAGGAGGATCGTGGCGGGTTCGAAAACAGCCTGGGCAACAAAGTGAGCTCAAGGCCAGCGAGACCCTGTCTCAAAATGACAAAAAATAAAAAATAAAAATAAAAGAAACTAAAGTGCTGGTTCCGTTTCTGAACATCAGTGAGAAGCACTGGAAATGACAACAAATTGTAAGACATTCGTACCAACTAATTTCCTCCCTGTGGCAAGAACAACACCGCTGCTCTGAACAGATTAAACATGCAGTTGTCCCCTGTTGTTGCCACACATGTCCCAGGGCCCTCACGCTGGCCGTTCCAGTGTAGCTGCTTCATGACTACCCTTTTTGTACTGTTACCTGACATGCCCTGGGTCGCTTCCGTACAAGCTGCACATCTAGGTCTGTTCAGCCATATTGTTTTATTAACCAGAAGAACACCAACAGTAGCCTGAGACAATTCTATTTTGTAATTCGAAAGCTGCTGTTAATTTACGAGCATAATCAAATGTAAACTGCAGACGCTGGAGCAAGTGCCTGACTTTTGCAATTTTTGGCATTACCCAGGAACCCTGTACAGTAGAAATCGATGCCGACTTGTGAACTCTTGTACTTGAGGAATACAGATATTCTCCCTCAGGTTATTTTGCTTACTGGTACCTGTGAGTTGCCTCTCTCTGTACATAGATCCTTTGTTCCAATATTTTCCTTTGATGTTTGGAACTACGGATAGTCAGGGGCTGGAAATTTTAGCTTTCAATGTAAGCTTCAAGCTTAGCAGTTACCTCTACTCCAAGACAATATTTGATTCCTAGTTGTGTTTGGGGCCAATTTTCATTAAATAAAATACATGTGATTAAATACCATGGGTTTTCTCTGATTTCACCTTCACTCGGTTTGCATCGCTCCTCTCCTCGCTGTTGTGACATTCGTCACACTGACTTCTGAGCCTGCCTTTGTGACGCTGTCCTCAGGGCATCGCGGGAGAATGGCAATGAACGTATCTGGGATGTGTGTGACCGCACGCAAGTCTCAGTGACTCTTAGCCACGTGGGGCCTGACCCTTCTGGCGAGGATCTCTTTGGGCTTCTGGCTGACCACGTAGACAGTTTAATGTGGTTTAACGGAGCGAAAGACAGAAGCCATTGTTGCAGAACCCACATCCACATGGCTCTTCCTCCCTCGCTGGGTTCTGGAAACTGGTCTGCTGAGCACACGCACCGCACGGGTATCACGCAGGCCAGTTTCTCCTTGCCTCTTGGTCCCCAGCCTGGCGCTGGAATCGGAGAGATCCGGGTCCTAACTTTACATCTGGGGAAGCTGAGCCCTGCTGAGCGATAGCGCTGGATCTGGCCAAGCCGACCTTGGGGAGAGCATAGTGGTGAAGATTATCATGACTTTAAAAAATCCAACACCATTCCAGGGGCAGTCTTTGGTATCTAAACCTGACATATATCTTTACTGACACATGCTACAATGATGAGTGATGTTCTCTTTGAGTATTCCTTCAAGTCTTTATTATTTTGTCTTTTTGTTGCTATGCAGTTCAGGTTGGCCTTGAGCTCACTTTGGAGCTCAGGCTGGTCTCCAACTCGCAGTGATCCTCCTGCCTCAGCCTCCTGAGTGCTGGGATTACAGGCGTGCGCCACCACGTCTGGCATTCCTTCAAGTCTCTGAAAGTGTGAGGATGGGCAGGGAGGCACAGGCCTGTAGTCCCTGCATCTAGGGAGTGAGGCAGGACAGTCAGTTGCAAGTTCAAGCTGTGCCTAGGCAAAGACCTGGCTCCAGTAAGGGGAGGAGGCAAGGATGTAGCTCACTGTGAAGGCCCTGCGTTCAGTCCCCAGTGTCACAGAAAAGTGTGAACAGGACCAGGGGTAGTTTTACAAGCAACCTTTTCAGAGCTTCCCTACAGCCCTCCTGTTTGGAGATCAGAGGTCGAGGAACACACCCTATGCAGCACAATACGTTCTTTTCCCACGTAGGCTACCGAGGAATAAAGCCCTGCACTAACTCTCCACCTTACGCTTTTCTGTTTCAATCAGTCCCAAAGCATTTTAAAACCAGGACTAATGTTAAAACCATTGTGAGTTGGACGTGGTGGTGCACACCTGTAATCCCAGCACTCTGGGAGGCTGAGGCAGGATTGCAAGCTTCAGGCCAAACCAGGTAATGAGTGATTAAGCTAGACCCTGTCTCAAAAACAGGGCTGGAGAGGTAGCTCCGTGTGAAGGCTGGGATTCAATCCCCAGGACCGCAAAGCAAAACCACATTGTGCCTGATTTTACTTGCTGCCCACTGAGGCTAACCTCGAAGAGCAGGTGAGGTTGCCTTCAGAATTTAAAGTCTTATTGCTGCTTGGCCTTTTGGCTAAGGTCAAATGCAGAATTTAAAGTCTGACCTGTGGAACTAGGGTTCTTTTTAGAAGACTTTCCAGGAACTGCACCACAGAGAGGACCAGGGCATCCCAAGAAGCAGGGCTTGGTCTGCCTTAGCAGTTTCAGGTGTGTGGGCAGTGACAGTGCCCCACCCTCGACCTCTGTGTTTTGGGTGTCACAATGGCTAGGGGGTTACTGGTGTGTTGTGAGCTGGGACCACCCAAGTTTGACATCCTGCAAGAACAGCCCCATGTAAGCAGGAGTTTCTCTCTGAAATGCCCATACTTTCTGACTTGCAGGGAACTGAAATGGAGGTTGGGAAGGGCCTGTGTCGTCTGTGAAAATTAATCCACACAAGAGCTGGTGAAGACAAAGTGAAGCGAGGTTTGGCCAAGAGCCCTAGGGGAGATGAAGTGCTTTTAGGGGACAGAATCAGTAATGCACAACACCTGATGATCTGTCCTGGGGACAGTGTAGGGTGAGTGACATTTCTGTAGCCCTAACCTGGATATGAGTCCCTTGCTGACACGGGGCTGGGGGAAGTTGATAATTTGGGAAAGGCTCCATTTTTTTCCAGTATCCGAACTTCTCCCAGGACCTTTGTGTCGAACTACATCCCAAGCTCTTTAGTGTTTTTAAATTTTTTTTAATTTTATTTTTTATTCTGGTAAACTGCCCAGCTGGGCTCAAGCTTGTGATCTTCCTGTCTCAGCCTCGCAGGGTGCTGGGATTATAAGTGTGCAGTGGAAACGCTCAAGTTGAGATGCCTGTGAAGTATCCAAAGACAAGTGCCAATGCTGGCGGCAAAATACATAGGTCTTAGGAGAGCAGGACGCAGACACACTGATGCCCTCTATCCATGAGACACGTTAGAGGGAAACAATGCACTGCACTTGCAGATCCTTGCAACATGTCCTAAAATCTCACGCACAAATTTTGGCCCGTGACGGAAACACAAGGATTTAGGGTTCAGTCTCCCGTCTCTGCCGAGTCCTCTTCAGAAGGTATAAGTACATCACGATTTTCCTGATAGTAAGATGTGTTAGGGCTTTCTAATGGTTGATGAGCTGCGGCTGTCTTGAATGTGTTGGTAGATTCAGAAAAATAGCTCTGCTCTTCCTTGAAACTTTTCTTCTTTTCCTCCTTGTCTCCGGCATTGGCAGCTGGCTAACACATCTCCCAGAGAGGAAGGCACAGACTTTGGAGGGGCCGCTTCCTGGCCCTCCCCGGGGACCCCAGTCCTCCTTACTCGGGCTCCTGGTTCTCTCCGGCAGGCTGCCTTCCAACGTTTGTCTGGTTTAGGGTATCTGTAACTGAAAGGGGAGAAGAATAAAAACATACAGAAAAGAATATAATGAAAGGTCTACGATTTCCTAAGCAGTGTAGCGGTTCAGAAGAGTTCCTGGGAGATCTGTACTGTGCAGAAATTGTGTGACTGGTTGAGTGATTGAGGGGTCGGTGGTACTGAGGACTGAATCCAGAACCTTCACGCTAAGCCACATCTACACCTTGCTTTTCATTTAATTTTGTTTTTGGGTCTCACTAAGTTGCTGTGTTGGCCAGGCTGGGCTGGGATTTGTGATTCTCCTGCCTCAGTCTCCCAGGGTCCTGGGATTACA